GATTTTCAGTACAAATCGGCAATTTCATACTTTAACCCCTATTATTTCAAAAATTTTCACTCCACAGCATTGACACCGTAAACCTGTCTTAACTTCTTTCTTAATTTGAAATTATTGCTACAATGAATTTGTAAAAATCTAATGTTAGAAAGGTGCTATTTTCTTCCGTGGGTGCTATGGCACATTTAAATTAACGCGCACAGCTTTATTCAATATATATTATGTATATCTAAATAGTTCACATCTGTTAAACAAGACCTACTTGTGAAATATAATAAAATAAAATAAAATAAAATATGCAACAATTAAGCTCCCAGGTTTATGTTTTTCAGATAAAACTGACCTATGTAAAAATTATATGGGGCGGTTATGTTAATCACCAATCAGTCCTTAATGCCCTTTCATCTTTACGAATAAGTAATGCAAAGATATCAATTTATACACTACGTTAAATAAAGCCAAAAAAACATTACGTAATGGCGCTTATTTACTTCTACAAAATTGAAGGTGGCGGGTTTAGATTACAGTTTTTACACTAATTAATTCTTAGTGAATTGGAGTTTCACTTGGCTGTATTGGTAACCTCATCCCACGGAAGAGAGAACCATCTTCCTTTACAAACTGGCGACTAACGGTGGGCCTTCAAGATCGAGATACGTTATTAAATCCGGCCGAGTGACTACCACAGTTCCGTCAAAGAAGTTGAAAAAACCAAACATGTCTGTCAATCGATTCGACGCCAGCAGCCATGCTGTAGGGGCTGTTAACGTCTCTGTTAACGTCTAGGGGGAGAAAGAGAAAGAGCATCCCATGGAATATGCAAGTGGACTAGCGAGGTGGCCGATATGCGAAGTGATAGTTGAAGTATCTACGAGAAGCCCAAGGAAGCAGTTCATCGTAAAGACTGTACATCCTAAACCCACGAGTGGAGGAAGACGACCCAAGAAAATCTAGAAGAGTTCAGTCCCTCTCGCCGAGGCGTCTTCGGGGCCAGAGCGGGAGACTATAACAAACCCACTTTATGTATTAGACGCCCTTAAGCCAGATTGTTCACTATTAGTTCCCTAAGAAACCGCTAGATGTCATTGGCCCAAGTCCCTTCTTGGGAACAACTGCTCACAAGGTGAAAAATAAATCTTCTGAACAACAATTTGGAGTTTCACATGGCTCTATTGGTAACCTCATCCCACGGTAAAGAGGGAACCTCTCTCTTTTACATTAGTAGGATACTTGGTTTTGCGTTTTCTAACTATTTGTAATTTCTAGTTAATAAATAAATTAATAGTAAATTCTTACTGATGTGTCTTGATGATTCTATAGACAATGCTCAATATAAAAAAAAACTGCAAGAGTGCCTTATCACAAGACATACCTCTAATTTGGACATCTGTTTCCCACACCCAAGCTCTATGTTCTATCAATTTCCTTATATATTTTGTATATATTGAGAAATAATAAATTACCACATTACTGAAAAACTTTTGATATTTGTGACAAAAATGTCTTAATAGGCTCTATTTGGTTCATTATATTACCTTTCGCCTTAAAGGTCCTGAAGACACTTTGCTCGGTGTAGAAATTGAAGAATTTGGTCTGGTACATTTACCTATTGAATCAAAATAATCTTGCAATACTGAAATTGCTTGGTACATTCTACATAATCCAATCTTCGCGACTGGCAATTTTTAAAACCAATGGAATCACTTCTCAACCATTAAGTTAATAAGCAAACATATTAAATACTCCACCTGTACACAATGTAATATTTACGAGTATGTCATATAAACTTAAAACGTCATTCACTAATGATGCAATCAGGAAGTCATATCAAAATTAATTTTAGGTTTGTTAAACATCTTTCTTCACAAAACCAAATAGCCTGTTAAGAGATCAGGTAGCTTAGGGCATCAACTGTACGCAGTCTAAGAGTCGTATTCTAAAACTCTACTCAATGCTCAAGTCAGGATTTGAGTATGGTTTAAAGCACTCGAAATCATACTCAAGTCCCTGCCATTAGGGTCGTATTTCCAGTGCTTGTGTTTCCAGTGCAATCCTGACTTGAGCATTGAGTAGAGTTCTAGAATAAAACCTTAAGAGAGAATACACAGGGCGACTTATAGCAGCGATGCAAACGTGATGCAGTAGCGATGCAGTCGCTAATCGTCTACCTTTACACATGCGCGCGTCGCGTGTTTGCATATACGCAATCGCCTATAAATAGCAAGTGTAGCGATGCAATCGCGCGTTTCATGAACGCGCGTTTGCTGCTATAAGTCGCCGTGTTAACCACTCTAATAGCTATGGTAATAGACAGGTGTCGAAAACAAACGCTCCTGTATCAAGGTAAAACGATGAAATAACTGTTATTCATGTAAAACGTTACAAAAACAAATAAAATAAACAAGGTTACGTCCTCCTACGTTCTTAAAAAAATTCATACCATAAAAGGTATTAATTTTTTACTTTCTCGCAGTCGGTAAAAACGGAGCCAAGTTTATTATATGTTTTTCAGCAATGCTGTTGCGGTGTAAGAAACCAGATCAATTTCTGTTCTAAATCAATTTTGATTTACTTCCATAAAAAGTAAAACATCACTATTAGTTGGAAAAATAGTACTGCAGTGCAATGTTTTGTAATATCACAATAATTACGGTCAAACTAGGGAATTCTTTGTACTAGGAATACACTCTCGTGTTTCACAAAATTTACTACGAGGCATTAGCCATAACATGCCAAAAGAGTCCGAAGTCGATTCTGTAATGTTCGGTTTTCTAGATTTAAACCGTGAAAAATCAAAGGATCAAATGTACAGTACTAACTACTGGGATACAAAATGGTTTTAGTAATAAATTAATAATCCCGGAACACCAAAACATAACATTTGGGGTTTAGGAGATACAGAAAATAACTTTGATTAAAGAAAAAAATTTGGGAACAGAATGCTTTAGCAGAACTTAAATTCTCCGTAAAAATTACCCTTATTCAAAAGAATTTTAAATAAACCATTTCAAATTAGAACGAAAATTTACTTCACACCACTGATTCCAACTCCTTTTTTGAGCTAAAGATGTTTGACTTCGTGTTTTAATTACCTCGTCAAAATTATCAGATGACTAAAGATATAACTTGCCTGTTAGCTCGCCCGTACACACGAGAGAAACAATTTGTTTATCCTTTTTCACCGTATCAATTTCATAGTAAAGTCAATTATTATTATGTGATATGTAAACTTGGCTAACTTGATAACACCTCCCGTGCCCCCAAAAAGGGTATCAAAACTTGCCCTGTTATTATCCATATGCTATGTGTTGATTAAATTCTTTACAATTCCATTTTACTTCAATAATTTATCGTCCACCCCTTATAAAAAATCTTCAAAATTTGATGATATTCATACCACCACGCACCCTGCTCAGAAACGATCCTGTCCAAGATGTCTGATAAAAATTCTAATAGACTGAGAAAAATTCTAAAAATCTTAGAAGATCCTAAATACCCGTCAATTGCACCGCATCTTTACTTAATGTCTCTAACCGGCTTGTGGCATCCGATTCGATCTATTGGCGCAATTATTAAACGAGCTCTTTTTTACATCACAGTTGCTCTTTTGTTCAGCCAATATGTCAGAATTATTATTAAATTTGACAATTATTCGTTAAACATCCTCCTTCGCTACGCCCCATTTCACATCGGCGTAATAAAGGCAGCTCACTTCCTCAAAAACTATAATCTTTGGGAAGATTTCATCACTTACATTGGTAGTCTTGAACAAAAGCAATTGTCTGGAAAGGATCGCGTCGTAAATAATCTCGTCAATAATTATATAAATTATAACCGCTATGTAACATACCTTTTCTGGACTATGTCATTAGTCATGTGCAATTGGTTAATATCTGAATTTTATCAGAACCCAGAAAAGGAGTCAAACGTAGAAAAATTTGTCATGTTCGATGTCTATGCACCTTTTAGCGAACAACCTTATGCCTATGGAGCTCTTCAAAACATGATGGCTTATTTAATAGGTTGTTATATAGTGGGATGGGATACACTTGTCGTGGCTGTAATCATATTTTTCAACGGTCAGCTGAAAATTGCAAAACACTACTGCACAAATCTAATTGATGGCAATAACAGCGAAATTAGTCACAAAAACATTGCCGATTTTCATCAACATTATATCATGCTAATCAAGTAAGTAGTAGAGTTAGCTCTAAAGAAAATATTGTGTTTTCGTCGCACGTCTGGTGTAAAGCGATAGCAGTTGCATTGTCTCAGAGCTTTAAATCGCAAAGATCTGAGGAGCACTGCAACAGCGCACGTTACCCTGAGACATAATTAAGGTGACAAGTCCCGTGTCCCTGTAATTTCAACAGCACCGTCAGGCAGCAAATTCGAAACGGTGTGGTGCGTTCAGCGAGCGGGGCATACAAGGTTTGCATGTACATTGTGTCTTGTGTTGGATACACCACTGTGAATTTGTGTTGCCCGTATCTACCGACCCGAGAGATAGGATTTTCCGGAGAGACTACGGGCTTAAGGGCAAGACCAGGGTATAGCGGGTGTCCGGGCCAAGCCCTCCGCCAGTGATACGCCTTTGCCCGAAAGACGCCCGTCTCTGAAGGATCCGGACTTGGGTATGTATGTACTCGCTGGGGTTTGTGGTTAGCTGCAGAGATGGACATGTTTGTCTGCCCCCGTGGTGTGTGGCCGGGGCGTTCATCTCATGGGCAGCTAGCGCGTCTTAGCAGCGGTTTAGTTGAGTGCCTGAAGCGAGGAGACGCGCGGGGCACGTGTGTTGCCCTTTAAGTTGGAAGCTATGTCCGGACATTATCGCAGAACACTGCAACTGTCATCTCCGGTCCCTCCAGCCGCCTAGGTTTTTGGGAACTAGAGAGACGTCGTTTTTCGGCGTCGGGAAGTGAGCGTGCCTTACAGCTCCGCCACCAATGAGGAGATTTGGTAGTGGACTCAGAGTCGACGGCTTAGCGGTGGCAACCGCTAGTTGTGCAATGCGCAACGGGAAGTGAGCGTGCCTACAGCTCCGGTACCTATCTGGAAAATAGGGAGGGTACTGTACGTGCGCCCTGGGCGACTCACCCGAGGCACTAGCCTCTCAAAGAACCGGATGAAGTCAAGTGACAGAGGTCTGTGACAACCCTGTTGTAAAGGGCACAATACCTTCTCGTATACCCTAAGGTCAGTAAGGAGGGTGACTATAATGAAAACTAATGTAGAAAGATACGGGGCAGTGAATTTGTGGCCTTTCCCTTCAAAACCGGAACGCAGTAATGCTCACTATGTCATTTGTTATGTTTGTCTGAATTATATATGACTTATCGTGTTATAAAATTATCTTTACTTATATAACGACACTACTTAGGATGACGATATTGTGTTACGTATTAGGTCTACCAGAATATGATTTCGGCTCTTATATAGTCTAGTGTTCTGTTTCAGGTACCAAAAAACATTCAATGCTCTCATATCGCCAATAATGTTCACATATCTTGTTAATGTGTCTGTGAATCTTGGATTTAGTATTATCGAAATATTTCAGGTATTATGGGAATTTATATGTCAGTAGCCTCCTCCATTCCCGTCCCGTCCGTAGATAGCCCTGTTTGATCTGTTTAGACTGCTCACTTTGATGTTCTTCTTTATTCGTTCACTGAATTATTGTTCTTATGTGCATTATGCAGCTTCTTCGTATCGTATCGATGGCATGCACTATAATGCTCTATTAATTAAGTTACCTCGGTGGACGTACTACATACAGAAAAGAAATGGTGTGTGCAACAAAATGGTACGTCGTGCGGAGTAGGATCCCTTGGTGTACCTTTAAAATTACACAAAAAATGATTATGCTATTTTAATTTTTAAAATTTCATTGCCTATCGCTTTAGGAACTCAATATTGCAATTTTTGGCATATAAGTGAATGTTATTTGTAACGTATAACTTAATTTGTTACAGTAAATTAATAAACAATTGTCTTAATTTTTATACTCATGTCGTAGCATGTTCACCTACATTTGGTTAAGCATTTTAATTGTAATACACTGTCGAATGTGTGTAAACTGTTGTAGTAACCGAATGTATCAACTGTTGGTGAATTTCAATAAATAAAAATTAAGTAAGTTTAAAACCAATTTTCTTTCAGGATAAAGATAAGGCCGTACTCAACTTTATGTATTTAATAGCGTGTTTTATTCAATTGCTGTTTTACTATTGGCACACTAATGAAGTCACAGTTCAGGTATGTACTGTATTATATTAATTCATATACATCTCACAGCCGGGCACCGTAAAAGAGTGGGTTTAGGTTTAATGCATTACTAAAGAGTTTTATGAGCTTTCATCCTTATATGTATTTCAATATAATACACGAATAGTTATTTCTACAGTTTGCACGGTCTAGCTTACCTACCTACTTTAGAAGTTGGCTCGCTTTTTCGTGACAATAGAGTTCCTTTTAAAAGAGTTCGTTCAGAGTAGTAGGTACTGCCACTTATGTTTTTTTTGTAATGTCAAGTGATGGCGCGAATACGTCGTGCGCCTGATAGTAAACTACACGCATGTCCAAAACAGTTGCAGTGCCAATCAGAGCTTTAAATCGCAAAGATCTGAGGGGCACTATCACTGCGCCCGTCACCCTGAGACATAAGTTGTCAAGTCCCATGTGCCTATAATTTAACCACCACCCTTACCCTTCAAAACAGGAACGCAGTGATGTTAACATTACTGCTTGGCAGCAGAAATAGCTGGCAGTACTTCCCTGGACGAACTCTTCCACAAGGAGCTCTACTGCTACTAATCGTTTGTTCAGGGAAATAGGTACTGACTTATCTGTTTCTGTATTACGGTAGTATATAAATATATACTGTAGTACTGTATTCCGGTTTTGAAGGGTAAGGGTGCTGGAGAAATTACAGGCACATGGACTTGTTGATCTGTAGTTTAGATTGACGCAGTGTCAGTACCGCTCAGACCACTGGGGTTTAAAGCTCCAAGTTGCACTGCAACTTCTGTGAACAGAACAACTTATCACCAGGTGCACAACTTGTTTGTCCCATCACTTACTATCATAAAATAATAATAATAAGTATATTTTATAAATATAAATTGCTTATTAACAAAAATTATGAGCTAGAGAAATTCCCAAAGAACGTCAATAACTGGTACACAAAGTCCAAATTAATACACCGCACACGAAGCTAAATACTGTCCTAACTCAAAATTGTGGCATTGAGAAAACACGATTTGAAAATTTAAAAAAAAAGTTAATGGATCTTTTGCGATTAATGTGATTATTTTTATTTACACATAATATTTAGTTATCCATTCATAAACGAGAATATTATAATTTATTGATTCCATTCTGTATTTTTTAAAATTGTATCTTCACAATTTTATTTTTTTTATGATACTAAGAGACGGGACGAACAAAACGTGCGCCTGATGGTAAGCGACAACAGTTGCAGTGCCACTCGTAGCTTTAAATCTCAAAGATGCTCACTGCGCCCGTCACCCTGAGACATAAGGTGAAAAGTTCCATGTGCCTGTAATTTCACCAGCACTCTTAGTTTCCGCTTAATTCCACAATTTTCAGTTACAACAGTATTTGATTTCAAATGCCACATATAAATAATTGAAAAAAGTCCCCGTAAATAATCACGTAATTTGCAATTTAAATTAGTTTACTTTTAACAGTTCTCTTAATTCTCGGTGTAGGCTAAATAAAAGCAAATAACAATGCACATATTCAATACAGTTTAGTCGCGTAAATATACGTGTCATATGGCGGCATAAAAAGTAGATTTATTAACCATCATCTTTACTGCACATATGAGGTACACAAATCCAACTACTTGTTTTAGAGTTTGAATGTAAGCTACGGGATTTTCGAAAGTGATTGGACGGCAGCAGATCTTAGAGTTCAAAAAGAGGCAGCCCTGCTGTGTGTATTGACTACTAAAAGATTAATATTCAAAGCTGGGCCTTACAATGAAATGACTTTAAGTACTTTTATTGGGGTAAGTACTGGTTTTGTAATAAATATTCAAATTGCAAAATTTCAAACGGACGTTCTCGATCTTTACAGGTCATCAAAGGGACTTACAGTTTTTACACGCTGTTAAGTAAAACTAATAAACCGCACGAATAGCTGTCCGTTCTGAAATTATGTGATCATTTGATTCGACTGTGTAACAATAGTTTTAAATTGACTTACCTAACGTCGCCTAGCAAGACACCGTTCAACTCATGTTCAAGTTAAAAATGGTCGGTTTTTATTTTTCATCTGTACTCAAGTCAAAATCAAGCGTGAATATCAATAAAAATTATATAACCAACACAATAGTTGTTAGTTATGCAAGGCTGCTAAGTTCTTGTTTGACCTGCTAAGTGTTGTATTGTAACCTGAGCAAGCGAAGGTCACTAAGATTGATTCAAAAACAGAATCCTTAGCGTAGCGAGGGTTTCAAGTCACGAACTTAGAATAATAACGCATAGAAACCTAGCCCGCACACGCTAAGTGAGGCAAGTTAGAGGGTTCCAAACGCGTCCCAGGAGCGCGAAGGGCTGTTAGTGCTCAAGGTCATATTGCACCGCGAACAGCTCCAAAATTTTTTGCTAAAAATGACGAAATGTGCGGTAAATGGGTGTAAAAATACAACAGACAAACAAAATAGACACTAACATCGCATTCCACAAGTAAGTAATGCGTTTCAACTCATACTTTTATGTAAATATTCACTAAAACAGAAAAATAATTTCGCGGCAACAAGATACGAAAGTGTTGCAAAGTAACGAATTTTTTTCTCCCCATTTTGCTATTCTGTATCAAAATAATTATATTACGTAAATTTTAGTGGTGCCTGTAATTTCGATTTATTTGCGCATTTTGAACTAATATTTACTCGAATAAACATTAAATGTTTTCGTTAACTCCTGTAAGTGATTGGGACACTTAATTATTTTATAATACTTTTAACGGCTCTGCGTTCATGCTTTATTGAATAATTATATTTATATTAATTTTATTTGAATTGGAGCACATATTGCAACAAATTTACAGTATATATTTGTTTCTACTATAGTGTTGGCACCACCAGTACAACTTTGATAGCTTAATATATGTCTTTCTTTTCGTAACTCAAGCGAAATATTTTATATTAAAATATTTTATTTTCTTAAAAGGGGAGCATTCTTAAGCGATTTTTTAATCTATTTTAACAGTTATTTTCTTTTATGTTTGCTTATGGCATTTTCGGTTTTAGGTTTCGAATATGGCACTTATTTCTAAATCCAAGATGGCGGGCGCGATTTTTCGAATAATGGCAAGTTGGGTATCGTTTTCGAGATGTTTGGGAATGTTCAATACAAATATGAGACTCATTTCTAAATCCAAGATGGCAAACACGACAGTTCAAATAAAAGCAATATTCGTAATGAGCACCCCCAAATACCTCGAAAACGATACCCAACTTGCCATTATTTGAAAAATCGTGCCCGCCATCTTGGATTTACAAATGAGTGCCATATTCGTAATGAGCACCCCCAAGTACCTCGAAAATGATACCCATATTGCATTTATTTGAAAACTCGTGTCCGCCATCTTGGATTTAGAAATGAGTGCCATATTCGTAATGAGCATCCCCAAATACCTCGAAAAGGATACCCATATAGCATATTTTGAAAAATCGTGTCCGCCATCTTGGATTTACAAATAAGTGCTATATTCGTTTTTCATCGACAAAACCGAGCATATCTGTAGGCACCTGATCGACAATGTCGGGCAAATCTGTAGGCACCTTTAACTTAATGATGAGTTAAGCAAGATACAATTTCCCCACTTTTGAGGGAAATGTTATTCCATGGCATCATTATTTGTATATTTGTGTGCGTGCCGACGAGCGTAGTTACAAGTTGCTTACGCCTACATGAATTTGGTTTTTGCCTCACTTGTGACAGTTCGTTTGATATGAAACTATCATTGTATGCGTTATTATTCTAAGGTCACGAAACGCAAAACAACTTTCCTGCCGAGCGAAACACACAACTTTTCACCTCACTATGGCGAGGAAAATAGTAGACGAAAGAAAACAGTTGATCTTTAACAAATCAGTTTTATTCCTTCATAAATCAAAAATAATTTAATAAACAAAATTAGTTATCGTTGTCAATTTAATGTCAACAATAACAAGAATAAAATATACCAACGGATTTATGTTACTTACATAAATAATGTACGACATATCGCGTAGTTGAATGTGTCACAATGTTTTTTTTTCATCCACAGTCCATCGTCAAGTTCGAATTTCAAAAACTTTATCCACTCCAGCATGGAAAAAAACACTTCTGAGCCCAGATTTCTTGAAATAATAATAAAGCCTTTCCGAGCTAGTGAGATAAAAAAACAATTATTTTTAAATTTTTATTGAATTGATATTCAATTATTTTTTGTGAAATTACTCCACTAGTTTGTTATAATTATTAATACAAAGATCGAACACTCAGAAAAAATTCCTTCGATCCGGCCGGATTCGAACCGACGTCTTCTAGCTTACCATGCTAGAAGATGTCGGTCCATAGGTACCTACTAAGAATAGCTTAACTCTTCTAAATCTTGTACACAATTTATTATCTATTTATTGAGCATTGGCTATAGAGCCATCAGCTTAAGCAGGTAATAATATAAACAATTAAGGAACTCAAAACGTATACGAAAAATTTATTTGTGTAGAAACTGTAACTATAAAAATCTGCCATTTTTTTCTTTCCATCTATTACAAAGTTTCTTGTACACTAAAATATATGCAGTTTTAGTCCCTTTTCCTGGAGTAATTTAAAAAAATACTCCAAAATACGTAAGCGGTGTTATTTGGTAAGCGCACATTTAAACATATATCTTATCACGCTTTATTAGGGAAATAATCTTATGAATAGGAAATGAAACTATTTTTCCGGATTTAAATCGCGTATATTTGTTTTTTCAAACATACCGATGTTAAGGGCCCTTTACAGATCCCATGGTCACGGTTGACTGTTTGAAAAAACAAATATACGCGATTTAAATCCGGAAAAATAGTTTCATTTCCTAAGTGTAACAATCGCGAAAACCTAAGAACTCGATAATCTTATTAAATTAACAAACAACATACCTATTAACGTTTTATTTTCACTTGTTGTACATTTTGAAATTATAACAAAATAAAATTTAGGAAACTCAAAATTGCATTTCATTGTACCTACTCTCGAAAATTTATTTATTAATAATCTGTAGTCATGGGCATATTTAGAGGAAAGATAAAAGAAGGTTGAATTTATGTACTGTAAACAAACAACGTTAATAGAGCGCGTTCAATTTAGCCGCTGTTAGCCGCGCTGCAGTCGCGCGGCCACCGCGCCCGTACGAGGCACATGTACAGAAAACGATCAAATCATTCATTTTTCAAAGTACGTTCTGTGCCTCTACCACGAGTTTACAGTGACAATTGTCGCTAGCGACACCGCAAATATTTCACAATTTTGTATGGCAAATTATACAGCGCCTTTAGCGGTCACAAGAAGAAACAACATTTTGTACATAAAAGTTTTACGCAGTCGCTAGCAATAACTGTCACTGTAATCTCATGGTAGAGACACATGTTGTATAATATAAATCTTATTATTGCTTCTTATTAACCTCGAATTAGATGTTATTATTACATTAAAATTTCGAACATCTCTGAAAAACGAAACGATTTGATTTGACCTCAATATTAGAAATATCAGTCGCCATGACGTTTTATTCGAAATGAAATTTTAATGCCAATAGCATTGATTTACAAAGTCAACAGCAAACAATTTTGATAAATCTTATCTATGATATCCATAAAGCATGGAGAAAAAATGAGTATAAGATGATGTCATAGAAGATGAGGTCCAACCTTAGGGTCCAACACTCAAAATTAATATACTTTTTTTAATTTTAAAGAGTGTCTATCTGCTTGTTATTATCGTATAGCGCTAAAAACGGGATCTTCAAATACAATTGACGCGGGCGGCGTTCGCGTCGTTCTGTCAATTTTAAATTTGACGGTTACGGAATTATTCAAAAGTTGTCGTTCGTTAGTCGAAGTTAGACGCTTTAAAAGTTATATTTTTATTATTTTAACATGGTTAACGACCAATTGATACAATAAATGACGGAAAAGTGCTGTCAGACCATTCATTAGTTTTGCAGTTGAAGACTGTCGTGACTTTACGTTCGATGACAAACGTTTTGAAAAGTGAAGAAGATGGTTAAAGTGGAAAAAGTGCCTGGTAGTGCCAGTGAGCAGGGTACCACTGGTGGTATAGCGCCTTCAAGATGTGGATCGACACAGAACATGGCTGCGAACGTGAAGGTTGTAGTAAGAGTGCGGCCAATGAACGAAAAAGAATTAGACAGACATTGTCGCATCGTAGTGGATGTTGTTGATGATAAATTTTTGGTATTCGATCCTAAAGAAAAGGTTCAGCCGTTTTTCTATCAAGGTGTCCAGCAATCGAGTAAGGGTTACTTGAATCGTGGGAATAAGGAGTTAAAATTCGTGTTTGATCATGTTTGTGGCCAGGAAGCGTGCAATAATGATTTATTTGAGATTGCTACGAAGGATATGCTTGGCTCTCTGATGGAGGGTTACAACTGTTCAGTGTTCGCGTATGGAGCGACAGGCGCTGGGAAGACATTCACCATGATTGGTAACAGTGAAAGTCCGGGTATAACTTACTTAACCATGGAACACTTGTTTTACACTATCAACTCTTTTGAGAAAGACAGAGAGTTTGATATTGGTGTTTCTTATCTTGAGGTGAGTTATAGCAAGTAGAATTCATCTATAGGTCAGAGGTAAAGAACCTCAACTGCTAAATCTTGGGTCGGCGGACGAAAGCGCATCAAGTTAAAATCCAGCATCATTCATTTAGTTTAATGCATCTACTGGCTAAAGCACATATGTCAAATTAATTTGTTACTTCATACATTTGTAACTTTATTCTAGAGGTATCTTTTCACATTTATCATTCTCTTCACATCTTCCAACACTATAAACAAAATCAAAAAGTGTATTAACAAATTAACAAATGAAGCACTTTTTAAACTTAGGTGCAGCGGACTAAACACTGACCCTAGAAATAGTAATTTTTACTACAGAGCGTTTTAAAGAGAATGAGGTTAATTAGGCATTTAAGATTGATTATCACAAAAAGTCAAGTAATAATAATAATAATAATAGCCTTTATTGCTGATACAATTCAAATGTTACAATGTAATTAATTAGTAGAAAATACAATTCATTATTAAAAAATATAAAAATATTTTAAACCTAGATTAATATTAAAAATAACAGATATAAATTTCGAATTAAAATTAATACTTAAATAATGTCAAGATTAATAATTCATTATAAATAAATCTGTGTGCAACATTTTCCTATAATTAAATTACGTCCATATCATCAGTTTGTCTTTCGACATAGACTCCAGAGACTTCCAGTTTTCCCTGTCCCGTGCCTGTCATTGCCAAAATTGGCCTGCCACCGATTTAAAACCATCTTCCCATCTTTTTCTCAACATGCCTGTTAAAAAGGCAAACAAAATGTTAAATAAAAAACAAATGATGATAATACTATGATGATAATAATTTGTCTTTTACCATTACATGATGTAAAAACAATTAAAAAGGCCTGATTACCTTACCTATCGATAATATGGCCCGGGGTACATGTAGGTGTAATAGAACTTTAGGAGCATTATTTACTATTCTATCTATTTCACTTCATGAATAGAATAATTTGAGGGGTCTGAGGCAATATCCAATATGCCTGGTTTTTCATGAAATGAGTAATCTAAGTTTATGGTGTACTTTTTATGCACTTTTGAATAGTATTTTATACTGAATTTGTAATAAAATTGCTTCTATGTCGTAGTGTAATTAGCGAGAGGTCAGAATTGTATGTGTACTTGTTTGTTTACAAAAGAATTTGTGGTTTTTATGTGAATGACACACTACTAAATTATGCAATTCTGAGCTCCCGCTAATATCACTATAGATTCATCAAATCTTTATTTGTCATCATGGGTGTATAATAAAGATCTTAACAGACGTACATTTAACTGCCTCCGTGGCCGATCGGTTACCATGCCGGCCTGCTACGCAGAGGTCCCAGGTTCGATTCCCAGGCCGGGAGAAATATTTGTTTGGCCTACATTTATTTCTCTCGTGAGTTTGGGTGTAATTTGTGGTTGTCTATGTGTGTGTCCATGGCACCCGCGACACAGGGTTTCCCTAGTGCGGGGCTATGTTCTGTGTGAGCGTTATTATTATTATTATTATTATTATTATTATAGCATAATAGGTTTGCTAGAAGACGTCGGTTCAAATCCGGCCATTCCAAAGGAATTTTTTCTAAGTGTTCTATCTTTGTATTCAATAATTATAACAAACTAGTGGAGTAATTTCACAAAAAAGTAATAATAATAATAATAACGCGCACACACTCATAGCCCCGCGCTAGGGAAACCCCTGCTAAAGTTGCTGTTATATTTTGAATTAGTGACTAAACCTGTGTAACTAAAATTTCTTTGAAGGTATACAATGAAAATGTATATGATCTAATTAAACCATCTAAAACACCTCTGCAACTACGTGAAGATGCAAAGTATGGAGTAAGAGTAGCAGGGCTTACAATACACAATATTAAAACGGCACGGGAGCTTCTAAACATGTTGGAGAATGGTAACAAGAACCGGACACAGCACCCTACTGATGCTAATGCCGAGAGTTCGAGAAGTCATGCAGTTTTCCAGGTATCAAATAAAATAAAAATATGACTTTGTAACTAAGTGTAAATGACATGATGCGCAATTTGTAGCTTATAGGCCACCATTTTAGTAGCAGTAGAGCTCCTTGTGAAAGAGTTCATCCAGGGTAGTACTGTCATCTTACCTATTTCTGCTGCCAAGCAGTAATGTCGTCATTACTGTGTTCTGGTTTTGAAGGGTAATGGTGCTGGTGAAATTATAGGCACGGGACTTTTCAAGTTATGTCTCAGGGTGACGGGCGCACTGACAGTTCTCTACGATTTAAACCTCTGAGTGGCACTGCAACTGTTATGGATAGGCGTGTAGCTTACCACAAGGAACACAACTTTGTTGTCCCGTCACTTTATATTATAAAGAAAAATCATGATCCATCTACAATCATTATTATTTTGGATATCTGTTTTAAGACTCGCCTCTACCATGGCCTAAAAGGTTCATTTTAATTTTTTTAATTAGAGAGGCGGCATTTCTGGGCAATGTTTTATTATTACAAGGCTGACTTCATTCAGGACCTGTGCAGCCCTTTGTTACAGGGATCATTAATTGATCTATTGTGATTACCACTAAATATAATTTGGAGCCAAGGCCGATAGTGTTAAAGAACTGAAGGATTCTTTTGGCTTCGCCTACTTTGATGTCCTCTGGTTGTGGTCTGTGCGTTCCTACCATCATCATTATATAATAAAATACAAGATTATTTTTACCTTCTAGGTGTACATAAAAATGAGTTACAAAACAAGCAGTCAAGTTCAAATAGTGAAACTATCGATGATAGACTTGGCAGGCAGCGAGCGCGCCTCCGCCACAGGGTGCGTCGGGGAGCGTTTCAAGGAAGGTGCTAATATCAACAAAAGTCTTTTATCTCTGGCCAATTGCATTAACAAACTTTCAGATGGAAGCAGTTATATACCTTACAGGTAAGAGTTTACGACTGTTTTTATCCAAAATCTCAACTCCATTTTTTTTTAAATGTAAGTGCGCATTTGACCTCCATCTCACCTGATGTATAGTGACGATGAGGTCGACGATGGAGCATGCACACCTAAATAATGCCTGTTCACTCTCGTCTTGAAAAGGCCCAAGTTATAACGTTCAGGCAACAAGTCTGCAGGCAGGGAATTCTGCTCTTAGCCGTTCGCCATATAAATGTGAAAGCGTAACGCTTCGTGCGAATCTTTGGAATATCCGCAACATAGGGGTGGAACCCAAGCCTACGCCTAGTCCCCCGGTGATGGAAAGGGGAAGACGTAATTAAATCGTGTAATTCCATCGCACACTCTCTGTGATATATCCTGTAAAATACCGATAAGCAGGCATCTTTACGGCGGTGTTCAAGGCTCTGCAACTTCGCCTCGATTAATTATTAGTCACCGGTAAACCTGTTGGCACGTTATTCAACAATTGCGAAAGAGATTATTAACAATAAATATTATTTGTTTGAAAGAATATAATACAAATGAATAAAATAAATGATGGCAAAAAAAGTTCAATTCATTTTTAGTTATAAAAAAACACTTGATTTACTTTGTTTTTGATTGTTAACTTCCTTATTATTAAGGAGTATTATATATTACTTATTATTAAATTATAAATAGGGCAATAGTTTTACAAACAAAATAAAACAGTATAGTACATGTACATGGTGAAGTTCGCGTTTTCAAATCGTAAATTTTTGTCATCAGCGCCTCTACGATGAGATTACACCGCGTAAACTGTTTGTATACAAAATGTTGTTTCTTCTTGTGACCGCTAGGTGCGCTGCATAATTTACCACACATAATTGTGAAGTAAAGTAAGCGACTTTTAGCAGCGATGCAAACGCGATACAAACGCGATTCACGTTTTCAATTAATTAACTAATTTATTTATTTTATGTATTTATTAATTTAATTTTTAAATTTACAATTAACAAAACAAAACAATGTGCATAAATGTATACAGATTTTCGTACATAATGATTCAACATAATCACAGTATCGATGCAATCGCGCGTTTGTATTGATGCAGTCGCGCGTTTACGTCGATGCAATCGCCGCCTATAAATCGCAAGTGTAGCGATGCGATCAATTGATAATAATGGGAAATCATCCTAGACGAACGTCCAGGATACCGCTGAGGTCATTAATTTAATTTATTATTATAAACATCACATTTTCATGTAGGTATTTGAACTCATTTCTAGAGCATTTTCATATAATTGTTGCAGAGATTCAAAACTAACGCGCCTTTTAAAAGACAGTCTGGGAGGAAATTGCAAAACGGTGATGATTGCCAATGTATCCCCTGCCAGCAGCAGCTACGAAGACACATACAACACTTTGAAGTATGCAGCAAGAGCTAATAAAATTCAGTTGTCAATTAAAAAGAATATTGTTGATGCGGACGTGAGGGCCTCACAGTACGTTAAGATTAATGAGGAGTTAAAGAAGAAAGTGAAGGAGTTGGAGGCCAAATTGGCACAAAAAGGTTTGTCCATTTTGTTGTTGTCAAAATGAAAAAGAGCTTTAAGGCCATAGTTCAAGACACGAGACGCAAATCAACTTTGCTGCCGACCGAGGAAAATGGTAGATGAAAGAAAAACTGTTGAACTATAAAACATCCGTTTTTTAAACAAAAGAAAAAGTTTATCTTCAGATGCGTTCTGAATTTGCACCTCAAAATTTTTGTTCTTGCTTGTGCTTATAATTTTGTGTGATTATTGAAATTATTTTAGTTCTTCGATGAATTTAAATAATTTATTAAACAAAATTTGTTATCGTTGTCAATTTAATGTCAACAATAGTAAGAATAAAATATACCAACGGATTTTCTATTTACATAATTAATAAGTAATGTACGACAAATCGCGTAGTTGATTGTTTTTTTTTCATCGAAAGAAAAAGTTAGATAACCCACAGTCAAGTTCGAATTGAAAAAACCTTTTCCACACTAGTGTGGAAAAAACGCTTTTGCGCGCAGATTTCTGATGAAAAATGAAGCTTTTCCGAGCTAGTGAGATGACAAAAGTAATTATATTAAATGTAAGGATTTTATTACACAGATTACACTTCAATTGAGGAGTTGAAGAGAAAGATCAAGGACTTGGAGGCCAAATTAAGTTTGATGACAACACAAAAGAGCGAAAAAGGTGAGAAAATTTGTTTAGGTAAAAAAAATATTCCATTAATTTTGAGTCGCTGTTACAACTTACAACGGACGTGAATTTGAGTTGACAATGCTGATTGTTTAAATATAAAAATTAAGAATGTATTTAAACAAATTATGTAACCAGTTACTAGTATAGATAGACTGAGCGTACTACATATACACATGGCACCTTTGGTAGGTCAATGCATGGCACACACTAAGATAATCCTGTTCTAGGCGTATTCAATATTGAAGTCGCTAGTTAATGTTATTTTTTATAGAAATGAAGGTGGAAGAATTGAAGAAGAAGGTGAAGGAACTACAGGCTAAGCTTTGTCTGTCGAGCATCAAAGTTGATCCCGCTAAAGACGAATGTAAGCGATTCACATTCCATATTAAATCATTAGTAGTAGAGTTCGTCCAGGGAAGTACTGCCACCATACCTATTTCTTCCGCCAATCGGTAATGTGAGAATTAGCGCGTTCCGATTTTGAAGGGTACGGTTGGTGATGAAATTACAGGCACATGAGACATGTGAACACCAGGATGACAAGCGCAGTGGCCAGTGGACCTCACATCTTTGCGATTTAAAGCTCCGAGTGGCACTGCAACTGCTATGGACAGGCCTGTCGCTTACCACCAGGGGCACGACTTGTTCGTCCTGTCTCTTGGCAAAAAATAACTATTTAAAAGTGATACAAACTATCGAATATGACGCTACTCAAACGTTCTACTGCCGCCTGATTGGTTAAAATATAAGCGTACTTGGCCAATCACGGACACTTCTTTTTTCTTTTTTTTCTTTTTGTAGTGTTTGTTTGGCTTTCGTTTGAGTTTGTTGCCATGAATTGTTAACAATAATCTTTAGACATTGGTTGAATTTCATTATTTTAATTTAATCGTCTTTAAGAACCCTCATTATGCGACGATTGCATAATAGTACAGTCATATACACAAGATACCTGACCTCCCAAGCCGACATTGTCCTTTGTGACCTTTTGGTTCTGAGCACAAAAATGTGGAGAAAATTATTTAACAAACTTAATCTTTAACCTGCGAGCTGTAAAATTTATTTTGGTATGACTCCCTGGTCGTCTCATTAGTGAATGACATTTTAAGTTTTTAAGCCAATTTGATCTTTAACATATGTTTGTTACTTAAATACAGAACACAAATTTCAACCGGTTTTAATAAGACCGTCGTGGCCAAGTGGTATAAGGATTGCTTTGCAAATTGAGGCAAGCATAGTTCGAGTCACATTAAAAATAAATTGCTATTTAGCTATAACTATATAATATTTATTTATACTTATTATTACTATATAGTATTTATTATAATATTTTTTTTTGTTTTTAACGTTTGAATAGGTGTAAGGAATGTCTAAGTCTTGTTCATACAGAACAATAATTTCTAATTTTAATAATTCCGTCAAGTGCAGGCATATTAAAACAAGAAAGAAAACTTTGAAAGTCGCTAAAACCTTGAAAGTAATTAAAACTGAATAGACAAATAGGAACGAAACGTGGAACATTGCGTAATCACAGAAGATACGATTGTACGCAAACTGCAGAACGATTTCGTGATTTGTTAATCTATTCATACCCACCCTAAGCTTTATTAATAATATCTACCTACCCACCTTGGCAATTTCTAGTGAGCAAATATTGTGATTTGTCAACGTTAACATTAAAAAGTGAAACAATGCTGTTAAAAATATAACGTTAAAACAAAACAGTGCTCGTGGAAACGAACCACGGGTATTGTAACTGGCAGTCGATGCAACAAGCCGCTCGACCAATTTACTTGGAAGCTAAATGACGAAATTTAGTATTGGTTTTAAAGATATTTTCATCATCTTCAAGCAACCCGGGGGGGTTTTAGTGGGGTAGTCCCTCAGTTTGGAGGGAGAGTCCCCACATAACCCCTGAGTCTCCCTGGGCTCAGGGGTATCCATAAAGATTTCCCCCCCGTCAAAAAAAAAAAAAAAAAAAAAAAAAAGGTATCTCATGTATATGACTGTACATTGTGTATTAAAAGACGGTAAATAAGAAATTATTAACGAGAGTCTATTAGAAACCCGAAGCCGAAGGCTGAGGGCTTTAATAACTCGAGTTTTGTATTTTTTAATCGTCCGTGATACATACAATGTTTCTCATCACATTTGCGAGGAAATAAATATAATGTTCATTTTTTGAATGTTAAATATGGTTTTTGCAAGAATTGTGGACACAAGAATTATGGATTTTGCAAATGTCGGGATTTTTGGTTTTTTTTTATCAACTGCTGGCTAGCTAGCAATTCTACCATAGATAATACAATCCCAAGTAAAATGTTGTAAAAAGCAAAGACGCATACAGCCGTGATGAATTGTAAAAAAAAATACTAAATTTAAAACAATTTTTGTATTAGTATGTAGCAGGATTGTTAAATTCCTTTTAGATTATATTTTAAGTGAATGTTTTAATTTCGAACATACTTGAAAGGGAGTATGCCGTGCTACAAATAAAAAAAACCCTTACCGACACGGTTGTAAAGGGACGAAAAAAGGTCCGTGGGTTTTATTTGGGGTATTACAGTCAAGTTAGCCACCATACAGTTATACTATTTAAGAGCAAGTGTGATGAAAAATACTATTATTATATGGACTCTAATGACGCGTATCGCCTGCAGTGCGACAAGAGTGGCGCCAGCGCCTGGCGGAGGTGGACGCAGCAGTGTCCGCCCTGGAGACGAGCCTGCTGGGCCTGATGACGCGCAAGCGCGTGCTGGCGCTGCGCCACCGCCTGCGCACGCGCGCCTTCTCGCACGTGGCCGACCTCGCGCACCGCTCTTCCACCGAGGCCGTTGAACAGGTGAAGCTTCAGGGTCCTAGCTGCAGAGAAAAATCAATATCCAATGAATACTACGCCGACATAATTTTTTGATCATTTTCTTTTAATAAACACCCATATGTATTTATTAATACTCCTCGAATTTTGTGGAAAAAAAGAAACAAAAAGGAATATTCGAAAAAAACCCGAAAAAACTTAGTAAAAAAAAAAAAATATAAAGACAAAAACAAAATAAAAACAGGAAAGGTCAAAAAATTTGTCCAGCAGAGGGCGAAGCCCGAAGCCTCCGCACGCCACCGTACGTACGTAGTACACAGAGGCTCTATTATGAGTACAAGATCTTATAATTGTTCAAAATGTAAGGCATATTTCCTGATGTAGTGGAAATGAGATGCTTACGCGTTGTTGTATCTCGACCGTCTTTCTGTTAGTTTTCTTTTTCATGAAAGCTATGCCAAAGCCAAGTATTTAGGAAAAAAATACCAGATAATCAGCTTTTGGTCTCCAATTAGGGAATTTCTTGTATTATGACTACCACAATAACTATAACTCTGAGGGCAATACCCAGGGTACCCAGACCAAAACCAACTTAGAAATGTTTGTTTCGTAAATTAGCCCAAATCGGGAATCGTATGCGGAATCTCTTCATCAAGCGCCCAAAGTAGTTACTAAAGGCTGTGCCACCGAAGTGCATAAGCACATCGTAGTCCAAACCCGGCCACGCGCCGCAGTACAATATATTGTCGTTACTGTTATTAAGAAAAATATATAATATAAACTCTAAATTTCTTTTCTCAGATGTGCGTAGAAGACATACCACGACAAGAGAGAGCTGTAGAGAGCTATACCAAACAAGCATTGCTATTAGACGCCAAAATAATGTCAGTCAGGTCCAAGTGGGAGAACAGCCGCCAAGAATTCAATGATATCATAAACCAAGCACTGAAAGAGTGCCCAGAAATACAGGACTTCGTTGATAAACTACAAGTGCAGAGGGAACTTCGATATGTGCAAGCCAGCAACGAGTTAAGGCACAAACTTTTGCTAATAGAGAATGAAGAAATCAACGCGTTTACTGAGTACATGAGTGGAATGCCAAATATGTTGAAGAAACTGTATTTGACTTTGAAAGGCTACGAAAGAGTGACGCCGGCACTTACACAAGAATATTTAGATATTATGAAAAAAGCAAAGTCTGCTAAAGGAATCTCGTGGTCCGACGAAAAGTTCAATGCGGATTCTGATTTCAAAGGCATTTGTAGTCTCGACTTAGAAAGGCCAGTTATGCTCGACTATGGCGCATTAAAATGTGACACGACCATTGACATCGCTACGGACAGCGAAGACTTGACAGATGTTGAAAATCGCGACCCAATCAGATTATCGGGCAAGAAGCGCAAAGGCACACCTATAAAACTACTAAACAATGAAACAATAATAATCAATGACACTTTAGAAAATCTGGATACGACAAAAACGATGAGCGCATCAAAGAAAGTAAAGAGAGAGATTGATACATTATGTGATGTTGAGAACTGTGGACTTATACAACCAAAGGACTTGAATTCAACGTTCGATATGGCCGGAAACATGGAGGCGTTGAAACGATCATTTAAAGCTGATGTGAAAGCACCGAGTCAACCAGCAAAGAAAGAGCTTTCCGATAAAAGCAACACTATGACACGAAGTATCAACTTTAATGATAAAAGTAAGTCCCTCTTTGTTAGCACCATGAACATGTCATACAACATAATTAGAAATTCCTTACAATTGCTTGTATAGTCGTAAAGATTCTCAGAGTTCAAATCGGTATACCTACCGATTTGAACTTAACTTTATGCTACTTATGAGAAGAAAGTTCAAAGTGTAGAGCTAATTCTACTATAGACAGGTCATACACGTTTGGCTCTCGAGGTTAAAGTCAACAACACGTAGAAATGTTTTACATTTTTATTAATACATATTTTTCATTATATTACAAATATTTTTGACATTTTTTTAAAAACTATGTGTACGAAATGGGCTACTGTTAACAATATTGGGGCTCGACACTAAAAATTTCCAAATATTGTTTTTTGGTTGCTCTGAAAATTTACAGTGCTATTCAATTAAATGTAAATACATAAATATTAAACAACAACATCATCATCAACATACATTACTCTGATCCTAAAGTACTGTGGAAATCGGAAACGACGTACCACAAACTTCCAAGAACTGCGACTATATAGAAAAGTTAGTTTTCTACATTGACACGGTCGGGAATCGAACCTGAGACGTCAGTGATGGTGACATCCTGAAAACCAGTGTATAAACCATTCGACCCCGGAGCTCGTTCAATTAAAACCCGATTTATTGATTTTTGTCAATCATTAAATAAGTAATAAGTAACTAACTGCCTCCGTGGCCCAACGGCTACCACGCCGGCCGGGAGCAATATTTGAATGGCCTACATTTATTTCTCTAGTGAGTTTTGGTGTAATTTGTGGTTGTCTATGTGTGTGTCTATGGCACCCGCGACCCAGGGTTTCCCTAGCTATGTTGAGTGTGTGCGTTATTCAATTTAAAAACTAAGTAGTAAATTTTATTGGTTTTGGCGCAGTCGTCAAGCCGCCGTGTAAGCCACTGCAGCAGCGTCGGGCGCCGGGAGGCGGCGGAGCGCCCCCCGCGCCCCGCACCGGCTTCGGTTCCAGCCTCGCTCGCGACGGGACCCCGTTTAACAGAAACGTGCAGCAAGGTTGGTCTCCTTCCCTATTGCTACAGATATATCCAGCGAACAAATACGCTCCATCGTATTGATTTGCAACTTAAAAAAGGCCAATTAATAAACGGGTATAATTAAGAGAATGGTGCGAGTGAACTCCACTCCGGCCTACCCGGGTGGGAGACAGGCGTGATCTTGTATATATCTATGTAAATTAACTATGTATCTATGTAAATTGCAAACGCCCTATCAGGTCGCAAAGTTGAATATGTTTCAACTGGATATTTCTCTGGCGTATTCTCTTATACAGAATCCACTTTTGTATCATTTTGGCGTATCATATTTCGGTATCATTTCACTCGCGAGGTACATACAATTTCACATCTAAGGAATATATTAAATAAATCTCTCAAGTGCATGATCTAAATATGATTGATTGCCTTGAGACAACAGTCTTTATTATTTATTGAGTACATAACCAGAATAGAGACGAAATGTCATTTAATTTGTTTGAATCTATACTGCCAAATCATTACGGTGACAACTGCGTTCCCATTGGCCAGCCCGAAATCGAAACAATTGACGGGTGTCGACCAGTTTAACGGGAGCTTTGCTATAGTAGATGAAAATTGAAAAATTACATATTTAGTATTTAATTACCGAGGAAATGTGTTTGCGTTTGTTTTGTGATTAGACGTTTTGCTGTTTTTCCCACACCACCTAATGGAACAGTTAGTTAGAGATATTGTCTTTATTATAATAAATACAGAATATTTCTGGAATATACGGAGACGTACACACAAGTCAGTTGTTGGCGCTGTACTATATCATCTTTCTAATTTGTGATTTCAGCGCAAACGAGAGTTGATATTTAAAAGTGATATAAGGTTTTTTTGCCTGATAAGTGGCCCTTATTTCGTCTCTATTTCTGGTTATATACTCGGTGATATTATTTAATATCACTAGTTTAAAACTCATGTTTTTATACATTTCAATCGTCTAATTAAATCGAATGCACTTCAACGATAAGTTTTTTAACCGACTTTAAAAAGAAGGAGGAGGTTCTCAATCAATATATTTTTGTGTGTATGTTACGCGATGACTCCTACATTTGTGAACCGATTTGGATGGTTCTTTTTTTTTTGTAGGAAACGGGGGTACCTCAGTAGTTGCCCCATTCAAATTTGAAGACAATATTCCACCTCTAAAGGTGGAAAATTAGAGGGTGAATCTGGTTTATTGGATTTCACCCACTTTCTGTTAACCGATTTCAATAAATCTTGGCAAATAGTTTGAGTGCACAACTTTTGAGGTTGGTTTTTCATTTGTTTCATCATCATTCAAGACGTTCACTGCTGAACATAGGCCTCCACCAAAGATTGCCAGATTAGCCGGTCGGACGCGACGGGCATCCATCGGTTACCCGCCGCCCTTATCATGTCATCCGCCCATTTAGTAAGGGGCCGTCCCACTGAACGCCTTCCGGTTCGTGGTCACCATTCGAGAACCTTTCTTCCCCAACGGCCGTCAGTTCTGCGAGCTATGTGCCCTGCCTACTGCCACTTCAATTTGCTAATTCTTTGAGCAATGTCGGGGACTTTCGTTCTTCTACGGATCTCCTCATTTCTGATTCGATCACGTAAAGAAATGCCGAGCATTGTTCGCACCATAGCTCGTTGAGTGACTTTGAACTTTTTTATGAGGCCCATAGTAAGTGACCACGTCTCAGAGCCGTACACACATCAAAAAAAGTTTGCGATCACTTCGAAAAACTGAAATCTTTTTTGTTACTGTAGATTATATTATGATTTAAAAATTAAAAATAAATTAGAACAAAATTAAAATATTTAAAAATAAATTAGAACATAAAACAATGACCCCGTTCAATTGTTTTTTCATATAAAAAGGCTTTCAGTCCTAGCTTACGCTCATTCAGAAATCTGATTTAGTCAATTATAAGCGATTCAAGATATTTTTCGCGGAAAGTTGTGATTGAAAAAATGCCAAGAGGATTATCAGAGGTTTTACGAGCTAGAATAGTAACTTTGAGGGAAGAAGGATACACCACGAGAGTAATAGCACGCAGACTTGCTATATCCCAATCCTGTGTCGTGGCTACGTTGCAGAGGTATCACGGAATGGGGAATTTAGCTGACCGACCCCGCAGCGGTCGCCCAACTGTTTTGACAGCTGCCCAAAAGCGCTATATTAGATTGCTGGCAGCCCGTGATCCAACAATCAACGCCACTAAAATAAAAGCAGAAGTCAGGGCCGCCTCTGGGCTTGAAGTTAGCACGCAGACCGTTCGCAATTGCTTGCATCAGGCTGGATTACGAGCACGGAGGTCTTTGCGAGCTCCGCTCAATTCCCGGCAACGTCAACAACGAAGATTGCAGTGGGCTAGACTTCGGCAAAATGAAGAAGGTGAGGACGAAAACATTTGGCAAAACTGTCTCTTCGTTGACGAATCCCGAATCAGCACTCATCCAGATAACCGACGTGTCCGTGTCTGGAGAAGACCAGGCGACCGTGAAAGACAAAGAACTGCCACTGGAACAGTTCAGCAAGGCGGAAAATCGGTGTCCTTTTGGGGTGGCATTATGATTGGAGCTAGAACGCCTTTGATCCCGTATCGGGGCTTCATGACAGCAGACATGTACAAAGCAGTTGCTATTGATGATATCGTCAGACCATTCCGAGTAAACCATGGGCACCAATTTGTACTGGTCGATGATAATGCGCCCGCACATCGAGCTCAACGAGTCAATGCTGCTCTTCAAGAATACTATATCACACGATTAGACTGGCCTGCCGGCTCGCCCGACTTAAACCCAATAGAGCACGCGTGGGATGCTCTTAAACGAGCAGTATGGAACCGTGAGCCACGTCCCCAAACAGTTCCAGAGCTCAGGGAAGCCGCTATTGAAGAATGGGATAGGTTACTCCAGGAAATGCTGGATAACTTGATCCTCAGCATGCCCAGGAGGATCTTCGCATGTATTCGAGTCAGGGGAGGAGTTATTTTATATTGAATTCACACCATTTAATAATAAATTGTTGTTTAAGTTTAATTAAACAGTCTTTTTTCTTTCTATGAAATTTCTATCACTATTACATTATGATTAATGGCTCAATTTTTAAAATAAACAATAAAAAATAGTTTTATATTTTAATTTCAAACAGGGTATTCCTATTTAAAGAAAGCATACAACATAGATTTTTTCTTGATAAAGTTAAATTTAAAGAATTATAGGAGCTTATGCTATTGATCGCAAACTTTTTTTGATATGTGTATGTCATCGCTGTCAACACGCGCTGCACGAAGACTTTTGTCATCAAGGACTGCGGTATTGCGGACGAGAAGACGTCCCGGAGCTTCCCGAAAGCATCTGAACCGAGTCTAGTCTGGTTTTATTTGATTATCTAACGTCTCGTTATATAAGATCAAGTTTTGGTCACTCGAGATGGTATCGTCCAAGTCTATTAATACATTTGAGCTTGAAACATATCTCGATATCTCAGCCGTTACCCACTTAATAACGGATTTAGGAATTTAGGCCTAACATATTGATCGTGATTTGCATCTCTAAGATCTTATACGCCAGACTTATACAAATGTGGACCCGATTATACAAGGATCACATACACATAGGAGTAATATTCCGCAATTCATTTCCATAGAAAGCGTGTAATTAATGGATAACCACATTTTGCCATTGGGTGAACAGAAGTCACTATTATGCCGCTTTTACTCATTTTGGTACTCGATTTGCCATTGAATGAAATATTCGTGTAGTTTCTGCTGATATATCGGCGTGTATTGACTTCTATGTCAACTTGCAATGATAAACAATATCGTCGGGTATGGTGCAATTCCGTGTAACTAGCATTGGATAATTCCGCGTATCTGAAACATGTAGCCAATTTGAGTTTTGCGCATGCTAGTGCACGTAGTTATATGATTGGGACCCGCCTTCTTAGCGCCAGTTGACACTTAACTAACAGAAAGACAGAAATCGGTAAATAACATATGCCTTTGATTTTAATACCGCGTAATTCACTCAGTTCGCGGCCAGGTCAGATCCGCGCGAGGGAGATAAAGAAAACGACTGACCTAATAACTGCAATGGCCGCTTATTATGCTTACACTCATTCCCACCTAAGTTACGTAATTATCCTAAGCACGAGAAATACTTGCAAGCCAGAAACGATACATCCGTATTCTTGGTAATTTGAGGGGTACTAATAGTTGCAGACCGCACTCTAAACAATTTAAAATTTTGACTTTGTGTTCTATGTATGTTTTAGAAATTTGCAAATTTATTAAACAACACCCTGACTTTTATACTAACATTGACAACCTGCTCCAACGACACACTTTTAAACCACGCAATAGTTTGCTTCTGCCACGATCTCAGCAGCGTTGAGCATATTCAACGAGCTCCCGCCTATTATTAAAAACGAGGAAAAGTATACACTGTTTGTAAATAAATTAAAATTACATCTTATTAATAAATGGTATTACAATTTAAATGAATACTTTGATGACAAATAAAAATAATATTATAATAAATTTGAATAATAAATAAATCTTAATTATATACTTTAAAGTTATGCTACTGTAATCTAATTAAATTCAAACTTTCAAGTGACATAATTCTGCTTATAATATGACGTATTTCTTATTATATGACATATTTTATTATTTTATATTATTATTTGATAAATAACAATTCTAATTAATAATTGAAACCTCGGCGTACCTCTGCTCTTATTGTTATCCCCAATAAAGGGCTCATATATGTAGCATTATTTTAATGTTAAGACATGTATGTACCATGAATGCAATAAATATATTGAATATTGAGTATTAAATGATGTGGCAAGTAAATTAACGAGATTTACGGGAATCTGTTGTTATCAATCCGTAGCCAACATAAATCAATGCTTACTGTGTAAAAATTACAGTCGTAGCAATTGAAATAACAAAGTGATAACGTTAAAACCTTCACCTGTAAAATTTGGTTTTGTGTATATACGCGCCTTTTACCAAACCTACTTACACGCCTTTGCACTACCCCCGACAATGTCTCAATACCTCCAATGACACTACGCCAACTTTATTTTTTAACAGCTATGAAGAAACAAAAATGAAACACGAAAAAAACAAAAAAAAACGAATTTTGTAAAAATAACAAAAAAAATTAAATAAAAACTGAACAAATTCAAAAATTAAGTTGGTCTAGTCCTATGAACACTAGTTCATAGGAGGTATCGTACTATGTTCGTTTAGGATCTGCATCCCGTGTCTGTTTGATGCTAGGTAGGGAGAGTGTAAACGCTTAGTTCGACTCGTCAATTCATCCTTTTTCATTTGTCTCGTGCTCGAAAAGCTGCTCTTGCCACGAGCGTTATACTCACCACACTTATCGACGCAAAATCTACTTGAGCTGGTTACAAAAAGCTATACATAGAAGAGCGAAAAAAACTTATAACTTAGAATTAAGTCCAAACTCATTGTACCACGATTTCTTTTAGAACTTACTTTAAAAATATTTCAATTGAAAAGTCATGTTACAAAATTGAAGACTACGTGTTAGATAAAGATGTATGGAAAGACGACATAGTAGAGTTGAACTACTGTAGTACTGAAGTACCTTACCTATTTCTAGTAGCAGTAGAGCTCCTTGTGAACCTTACCTATTTCTGTCGCCAAACAGTAATGTCAGCGTTACTGTGTTCCGGTTTTGAAGGGTAAGGGTGCTGGTGAAATTACAGGCACATGGGACTTGTCAACTTATGTCTCAGGGTGACGGGCGCTATGGCAGTGCCTCTCAGATCTTTGCGATTTAAAGCTTCGAGTGGCACTGCAACTGTTATGGACAGGCGTGTAGCTTACTATCAAGCGCACGACTTGTTCCTCCCGTCGCTTGATATTATAGATAAAAAAATTAGAATAAATGATTTTTTTGACGTTAACGTTGACGACGAACGACGCGACTCGAAAAACGCACGTCCAAATAGCTCTTATTGTATATACACAAACAAGCCGATTTCGCGCGGTAAGTGTGGTGATGAAGGTACCGTCCGTACTCGCGCTGTGTAAAAGCAAAATTATAAACGATAGAACATTGAATGTAACTAATATATTAACAATTTTATTTCATGTGCTGTGACGTCTTTAATCAACTAACAGAAGGTCGTAAGGCCAATTTCACTCAAAGGTCGGTTGGTTTAAAAGCAGTTCGCGCGCGTGAGAGGGCCCCAACGCATCCGTACTCGAGACCTGCTCCGCTTCTGCAGAGAACCACAACACTCAGATAATGGACTTAGGAATTTGTATAAGAGAATATAGTGTAAGAAAAACCTTTGTGAAGACAGTATTGAAACGTGAAAGTATGTAAGTTACAAATACGACGTTAATTAACAAATCGATACTTCGGGGAGGAAAAGTCGCAAAAGTTAATTTTATCAAAAATGAGTTGTTTATGTAATTGGGTTTAATTTTCATGGCCTTTCAGTCTGGTTTTTTTTAGGTAATCACAGTCATTAAACAAAAAGGATATGAACTAAAACGTAAATTGAATGTTGTTTGCTCGTTTTGTATACTTGGCAGTTTGGTATTTACTCCCTTTCTTCCCTGAAGTGTCGAAATGTTGAGTTATTGACTCTGGGTATAAGTTTGGTTAGGTTTCTTTTAGTTACACGCGTGTGTTGAGTGCACTTGGTAAGAAAGATTAGTTCACCTCTCGTCAACTTCATTTACACTAAGACGTATATTATTTCAATACACAAATTTATTTTGCTTGATTGGTTATGACTTTTGGAGTACAAGGTCAATATACTATTGTAAATGTATACTTGTATTTTCTACTGTGTGTACGTATGTTACGATTGATCTAAATTATAAGTATTATAAATACTGTTATTTATAGATTGGTTTCTGAAATCTAGTGAAAGATGGATTCAACAATGATAATGTAATGTGCTAGATAACCACACCAATTGCCTGGTTTCAAATTAGGGAATGCCCTGTACTAGGGAATATTCCCTACACACTCCTTTAGAAAAGCAAATTGCTCCTGCCGGGAATCGAACCCGGGATGCATCCAGCACCCATAATAGAAACTATTGTGCCACAGAGGTCGTAAAATATAATATTACGTATAATAATTCTAAACATTTGACTGTATATTTGTCTGACTGACTGAATAGACTTAAATGTGTGATTGATATTATGTGGCTGATATGGCGAATACTTATTTAGTGTTCTGACATTTTAAAATGGTATGGCCATAGTTTCGGGAAACAATGGACGAGCTCGGTGGCCGTGTAGAGTTCCCGAACGAGGAAGCGAACTTTTTTAAATTAATTTTGGTCTGCAGTGAGTTTCATAGTACAGGGAATTGCCTAGTCGCCAGGTAACATTGTTATTATTAAAATAACAAATATTACAACTTTCATTTTAAACAAATGTTTTTCTACATTCTGTAAAGCTATTTTAAGTTTTTTTTATTAATTTCTGGATATCCCATAATATGTCTGCATTATTCAGTTAACCCTTATAAGTTTTCAGCTACTATTTGATTGCTAAATAACTATGAGCGGTTATCATGGTGATTTTTAGCAGCGTGTCTGCAGCGATCCAGTTGTGATGCAGTTGCTAATTGACTACCTTTACATACACACGCGACTTAAGTAGCGATAGAATCGCGATGTAAACACGATGTAAACGCGATGCACGTGTGATGGCATGCAATCGCATGTTGGGCAATTGGGCAAGTGTTGCTATACAATCGCGCGTTTGGTTGTATCGCTGCTAAAAGTCACCGAGTGTAGTAACCGCTATGTAATATATCACTATATAATGTATGAATATGCACTTGATACGCGTATCAAAAAAAGACCAAAAAATTCCGTCTTAACCCATTAGTGCCCGCCGACACTAGTTTAAGTACGCGTAATTTTTTTATACTACTATTAATATTCATTACAAAAGTGTATATGTGACGTAAAACAGTTAATCTTGATGTTGTTACTTTAAAAAATTGTAAAAAGTGGTTCTACTGTTCTTTTTTGCGGGATTAATTTACGTAAAAATTGATTGGAGTAATTTATTCTCTATACTCAATTAAAAATTGGAGTAATTTATTTGGTTTTCATGTATGAGTTATTTTTAAGTAAATAATGGCACAACGGATATTACGCGTATATAAACTTTACTTAGAATTATTATGGGCTCCAGGAAGTTATTGAATAAAATGGAACAAAACCTTTTTTTTCCATAATTTTCTCTTAAGTAGGGTATTTTCTAATGGCTTATATAAAAAAAATCTAAGTTTTCTTAACGCTTAATTTTATTTGGGCGTTAATGGGTTAAGATAACACTCACGAGCGCATCAAGCTTGACATTGACTTTGGACCGTGCTCATCGTAAGGGGCAATTTAATTTTTAGTTATTATTGCCCCACTGCAGGGCAAAGGCCTCCCTTCCCTTTTTCCACTCTTCGCGATTTAAGACCTCATATATGCATCCAATTCGTCATGCCATCTCGTTCTGGGTCTTCCACGGCTTCGTCTTGCGTTTGGTGGGATCCACTTTGTGGTGGTCTTTGCCGATAGCTCGTATGACATGCGGCAGGCGAAAGGGGCATACAGTTGAATTTAAATCTCAAGGTTGACGTGCTCTTGACCTTTAGTTGTGAATCGACGGATAAATAATTATGACAAATAGGACTTGGGTTCAAAGTATTGCTAAAAGCAACTAACTGTATTTGATTTTACATAAAGACAATTGTATTATGGCCAATTTAATATTGAAGTTTGCTGAGGCGAAATTTAGTTTTAGAAATTTCACTTTGTATTTACTCCACTTTGTACTTATAATTTGACCACTGTTAGATGATCTCTGGCAGATAAAAAATGTTATAAGTATGCAACATAATAAAAAGAAAATACTAATTTAAAATAAAACAAATATGTTCAATGGGTTTATAACTCCGCTGCAGAGAGTTATAGATAGTAGCTTTATTTGATATTCTGGTGTAGCCCGTAACGGCCAAGAACACGTTAAAAACGGAAAGACACACGACTGAACATAACCGACAATAAAAATAGAACAACATGTGTCAAATTAAAAGAAACCTACAATCTGAGTTTGCTTGTGAAACATTCACATTGTGAGAACGTTTGAGACGAACTTTTGTTGCAATTTTTGTTAATTTGTTATAAATGTCTCAATTTATATCACCAACGGCTTATTATGACAAGCTTTATTTCCATGGTTTCCAGGGTATCTATACTAATACACATTTTTAAAACCTTTATATTGTCTGGTATAGAATTATGGTCATCTATTTTAGTATAGGTAGATATATAATTATATTTAAAAACACAAATTCTTAAACATGGTTTAAGTTTATTTAACTTTCTAGACACTCGAAAAACATTTAAACTTTCTTTTTATAAATATAAAATTGTGTTAAGTACGTGAGCGCAATTTATGCAGTTTTTTTTAAATTAATCAGCAACACACAATTACGCTTTCTCAAACATCCAGTATGGACTGTTGACATTGTTTCTGTGTCCCAAAAATGGTGGAATAAAGTTTGTTTTTAATATATTAAATGCCGTATTAAAAATATTATATCGATTAAAATATCAGAGTTCACACAGGAGTCCTTCATACGGTGACCACGTAATAATAACTTGACGTTGTATTTAATGGAAAGAGGTTTTAGCTTAGCTTTAATATTTTATTTTTTAGGCACCTGGTATTTATAGCTCAATGTTTTAAAGTGTTTTTGATAGTAAAATGTAATCACACACAGATATTGTAATTTGTTATATTTATTATTGTAATTCTGTAGAGGTTTTAATATAGTAGCTTACCTTTTTATAACAAGAGTTACTAGTGTAGTATAATATTAAGGACGTAGTGGTTTATGTATATCACAGACATGACCTGGGTTCACTACAAAATGAATTGTTTTTAGTACTTCCTTGCGTTGTAGTCTTACGTGATCGTAAAGTTCGATTATATTCTGTGGCTCCATCGCTTAGAAATCACGTGGTGTTCTCTTTTACCTAGATATAAATAATTTGGATCTTTTACTGTGATGAGACAAAGAGTAAAACAACGATGGCAGCGCAGGTCAGACCCTAAATGTGCCGATCTATAATATAGAATAGTGGTGTAAGTCCATATCTTAAAACACTATGTTTAATTATAAAAGTGAAGCAACTCCAATAATTCCACTAACGTCCCGTAGATGGCATTATTACTTTACTCAGTGAACTAAAATTACTACACATTAATTTGCTAAAAGCTCATTATTTCAAAATTTTATCCCGTAGATGGCATTACTAGTTTACTCAGTGAACTAAAATTACTACACATTAATTTGCTAAAAGATCATTATTTCAAAATTTAATTACAAGGACATAATTCACTTTTATAATAAACGATACAAATATAGGTCCTATTGCCTACCAAAGGGATCACCTCGGTGGCTCATCGGTTAGTACCAGGGTTGTTACTGATGCAGGTTGTTTACACATCAGCGGATGTTGATTATGACGTAAAAAGACGTGATAAATGGATATCCCTACTGAATCTATCTATATGAAAAACCTTTCATTTTCTTTGGTATTGCAAATATATTATTTCAATGATTTTGTGACATTTATTAAGAGGGAGCATGCCAAAAAGTTTTGACGTTAGCTCCGCCCAAATTTGTGAAACAAATATATGCCTGAAGTTCGCGTGACATGCGACAGGAGATGTTGAATTTTGCGCATTAAAAGTACCAAATTCGTTTTAGCGGAATAACTCTAAAACTAAAGGGATTAAAAAAAATCCGTAGTGACAGTTGTCGATCATGCATAAATATAATTAATTATCTAATTTTTGTCCTAATAACCTGTAGCATTTCGAGGATAAATCGAAAAAATGTGAAAATTAGAGGTCATTTCGTCATTTTTATCTATCGAGGAAACTTTATTGTTTTATGTTTCTGATTAATGTCTATGCTTGAATATATCGTGTAGTTACTCATACAATATTTTATTTTTAACTTTAAAGCGGATATGCCCCTCTAAAATCAAATCGAAGATTAGGAATTTTTCCTCTGCTCCCTCTTAACAAAAGAATCAATCCGCAGGAAAACAATCAATGTGCAAAGTTTAATCGTTCTGGAATTTTATCAAAGTTATATTTTAAAACACCATAGCTGAGCTGCTTTTTCGGTTTACAGTCCGTTTCTGGAAGGTTTTGAACCCCTCCTACAGGGGGACGTTTTAAAGTTCTGAATTTACTGAAATGAGTATAACACATGACTTTAGCATTTCTCAGTTTTATTCGGCAAACCTCGTTACTCACAGAGTATTATAAAATCTATGGATGTATGTTGGATGATCTATGATGATCTATTAGCGTTTTAAAGTGAAAGTGTGATTTCAGTGAATTCAGAACTTTAAAACGCTCCCCTGTGAACTTGGCAATTTCGACATACGATACATTATGTAGGAGGGGTCGGTTTGTCTGATTTTGTTTGACTCTAACATCCGCAATGAATATCAGCATCGACGAATGCGGAAGTTGATACTTATGCGGATATTTTAATTTATGCAGACTATCCGCGGATGCTGATATTCGCAACAACCCTAGTTAGTACTATGGGTGCTAGATCCCGGGTTGAATTCCCGTATTGATTTTGGTTTGAATAATCAGATCGGTCCCCCGCAATTTGAGACGAGGTGAGAAGACCTTAATCGAATTACGGTTGTGACGGAAAAATGTACACGGTTCGAAAGATTTCATGTTCCAAGGGACGAAGAGTAGTTTTTTAAGCAAGCAATAGCATTTCGTTTGATATCTCCACTTATTTGGACTAGGAACCAATATAAATTTACATTGAACCGCTCTTGTTCGCTCCGCTTTGATAAATAATTAACCTTAACTCCAGCTTAAAAGTTCCACATTCACTTTTATTAGAGCTGAATTTTGTATAGCAAATTACATTATCTTATCTCATTATTGTGATAAGTTTTAAGAGATTTGTATGCGATAATTTGTATAGACAATATTGATGTCAAAAGACATTGTCATTGTCATTTCAAGGTTTATATAACTTTAATTGCAAAATGTAAGTTGTCGGCTTATAGTGATCGTCATTACATATATCTTTTAATAATGTGTATTACTAATAACTTGATTTAAATATGTTTAATTAACAAATGACTGATGTATTTTATAAGCATTGTAATTTTGTAACAGAGATTGTAATTTTATACGGGATATTGTAACTTTGTAGCACTTTGTAAATAAACTCTTGTACTAAAGGATTTTTGAACGTTTTAATCAGCAAATACCCAAAATTATTTACAGGAGACTTGGGCCTGTGTACTAGCTTGTTAGTATATTTTATAAAGCGCGTCTTGTTTATTTATTTATTTATTTAATCTGGCTCTCACAACAATATATAGTTTACGCAGGTGTACAGACACTATGGTTTTAAACTAAGTGTCCCATTACGTAAAGGAGGGCACAGCATGTACTAAAATAAATACAATAATATTTGGTTAGACATGACGATACAAAAGTACAATCATAAACTTATCACATCACTTTCTTTATCATAGAAATTGAAGTACAATTTAGATCAATTTCACTCTGATATAACTTATACATGTTATTGCTCGTGATAAGAAACAATGTAGCCTCAAACTGTTCCGTTTGTTCTAAGGGGACGAATAGAAGAGGAAATAAATCGATTACAAAATCTAGGTATATTAATTAGTACCGGTCAAAATGTCGGATTACGCTAGCCCAGTGGTTCCCGTACTATAAAAATAAATTAATTAAGTGATAAATTTCTGATATTGCAAGCATAAGTATTAATTCTGATATGCTTACTGACTTATTACGCAAACTTGATCCAAGTAAATCTGCAGGTCCGGATCACTTACCAGCACTATTTTTAATTAACTGTGCTAACAGCTTTACTAAGCCAGTTAAATTACTGTTTCAACGTTCTTTTGCAGAATGTTATGTACCAGCACTTTGGAAATCCGCATTTATTACCCCTGTCCTAAAGAAAGGTTCCAAAACAGATGTAACTAACTATAGACCCATCTCTAAATTGTGTGTTTTGTGTAAGGTGATGGAAAAATTGTTTATACCCAAGTTTATTCGGCTTTGAAAAACTCATTTAGTCATACTCAA